AGCAGCCATTGATGACAGACCCAGCTGCTTCAGGTTCCCCAGGGGTAATGGTATTGGAGTAGCTCTTCCACCTAATTACGAAGGAACTCCTCTTGAGGTGAGGATAATGAATTTTAGGATATCCCAACAGATTAGTACATAGCAAATAAACCGCTTAATGTTTCTTCTTCAATGGTTAAATAGATTGGGAGAGGAAGAATTATCATGGAAGGCAAGAGAGTAGCTATTTTGGGATATGGCTCGATAGTTCAACAATGTATTGCGGCAGCACACATGCTCAGATCTCAAGACATTTATATAACAGTAGCTGATGCAAGATTTTGCAAGCCTCTAGATAGGGATCTCATCAAGCAACTAGCACATGAGCATGAGATTCTTGTTACCGTTGAAGAGGGTTCTATTGGAGGTTTTGGCTCACATGTTTCACATTTCCTGAGCTTGACGGATATTTTGGATGGATCTCTTAAGGTATATATACATACATATATATATATATATATATATATATCTAAATATAAATTTCTAGCTTCCTTCCCCAAAAATTTGCCTTGTTCACTTTTTGATTTTGTTTGTTCAGAATCTAATTAGTTTTAGAGCCTCATTGCAGTTGAGAGCAATGCTGCTTCCTGATAGATATATTGATCATGGATCACACGAAGATCAGTTAGAAGCAGCAGGGCTCTCCGCAAGACACATCGCTGCAATGGTCCTATTTATGCTAGAAAGGCCAAAAGAAGCCCTGCAGTTCAAGCACAAGTAAACATCAGAATTTTGTAGTGGGAGTAATTGAAAAAACATTCAGCAGAGACATTAAATGTGATGGGAAACTCACCCAGTGTCCAAGCCGACATCCATCTCTGCACTCTGCTTTCTAGGCGTAGAGAAATTTATACAAATCTAACTTAAAAGATTTATACATGGCTTGTTGACGTACGAAGGTCAGAACTCCTTTTGGGATCAATCCCCTCCTCCGATTAAAAGTTTCCTGCAGCGTAATGTATTATCAGTCGACTAGTTTATTGTTTGTAGTAGATTGTCAACTGTCTCAGATTTTACGAATAATTAATGTGGTTAATCACTGCCCATCAAAAATTAATTTCCAACTGGAGTTAAAAGGCTTTTCTAAATGGAGTTGATTTTTGTTTGGTACAAGACTTATCATCCGTCAAGGCCAATGAGCAGCAATTCAAATTGGATAGCAGAATTGGCACTAGATTATTTTTCTTTTCTGGAGTGCAAGAAGAGGCAAAGGACTGAAGGAGTCGGGTGAGGAGGATGGCTGCTGCTGTTGCGCTTCAAAGGCATATGATCATCTGTACTCTGTACTTACAAACTAAATGAGGCTTTCCTTCACTCTTTACATCAACTTCACCTCATTTTAAACTTTTTAAGCGACCTTAGCCTCTCCCCATCAGATTTTATGTGAATTCCTCAACATGTTCAAATTCTAATTCTTCTTTTGCCATACCTGGGTTAAGATAAATATATATATATATATATATATATGTAGACAGGGTTAAGATAAATATTATATTTGTAATTTTTATTAAATTAATTTCGAATGCACCGTCATAAGATATGGCACATTTTACCTTGCCCTGAAAATTTAACCTTCTTGAAATTTTATTGACAAAAAAATTTGTAATAAACAATTACGAAGATCTATTATGAAAGGTCAACAAAGTGAAACAATGTAATTGGTACCTTATTAAGGTAATGTTTTTTTGTCTCATTAAAATAATTTTATTTTGACTGAAATCGAACCAACCTTTTACAGATAACAAGAAAAATAAATTAAAAATTTACAAGCACTTTTTATTTTAAAAATAGAAAAAAAAAACCCTGAAATTATCAGGAAATTGAACACTTTAACATTTATTAATTACTGAACCTTTTTATTTTTTTATTAAAACATTATAAATTCTTGCAGACGTTGCTTTAAAATAAAGTATAGCAAACGTATTGATCAAACAAGGAATAGATGTGATTTAACAGTCTAATTATGGATAGAACAGGAGGATGGGTTTAAAGAAAATGTCCTTTGTTCAGGTTCCTGCTCTAAAAAAATCAAGAAATAGCATTCTCTAGAAATTAGTGCCTGCAAAAAGGCCAAGTCAAGCGGCCAACCTTCAGAAGAGCAGATTTAGCAATTTACCCAAATTGCATTTTAAATACATAATTGAAACTAATAGGAAGAAGAATTCTCCCTTAAATTTCCCCAAACTGCCTCTTTCTTTAAATTTTGACAAGAAGATTTACTGATCCGTGAAACTACAAATTGGAAAATAGTAATGATCAGTGAGACTATACCTAGAGTCAAGAGACTGTAACAGCCATAGAGAAAATGTCATCGTGAGAAATAAAACATTAACGCGGAACTCGCACTGTTCAATAATTGCCATTTCAAGACTAATCTATTGTAGCATTTCCCAATGGAAAAAGTGTAATAACAAACCCCCTCCCTATGGAAACAACCCTATGTGTTTGATCTTTGTTATAAATATTTTTGCTAAGTTGTTAACGGTTTACCAATTTCATATCAACAGGTCACTCCTATACTCGTCATTTTCTACATGGAACCACGACAGCTATGGAATAAGTAGTTCCCTTGGCCAGGACGGAACACAAACATCAATTCCAGTGAGCAACAAAATTCAGTTGTCTCCCATGCAATTAATGTGATTACCAATGGTGAGATCGACTATCTGGTGATGAAGATTACTGGTTGGCTTGAATGAACGCTTGAAGCAAGCTTTGTGCTATCAGGGTTTGATCTGGAGTCCCTGATATAAAAACTATCCCCTCACTTTCACCAGGACTTGGATCATGAACTTCGACTTTAGCACCTGAAATCTGATTTGGCAGTACCACACATAAATTCATACCCAAAAAGATGTACATAATTAAAGAAACAGTCAGACTACAATACAACATCCTCAGAGGTCAGAGTGTTTTTTCTAGTGTGTATGAAAATTACCTCTTTGAGACGAGCAAGGTTGCAGCCATGTTTACCATAAACGGAGCCAAAAACATCTTCAGGAACAACAATCTCGACAGTTGTATTTTTCACAACAGCAGACTTCTTACTGCTGCGTAAATGAGAGATAAAAAATCAGATTAAATTCTTCTATAAAACTTCGTAATATATATATATATATATATATATTTTTCCACGACAAAGGTAAACTGCTCATACTCAATAACCCAACAGATGAGAAAAAATTAGTTAGTATGAAACATCTTTATAACAACCAAGAAACACATATTGACAAAAGGACGTCATTTATCGGAGTCTCAAAATGCCCTTGGGAAGGATAATTACACATGAAAGAAATCAAGTTCCCTATAATCAAAGTGTCCTGACGAACGCACCTCAAACAACAGGTAAGTAGGTACCATGACCTACTATCTCAATATTACTCATGGCAACAGCTATAATAAAACCCACACAGTGAATGTGCTTCAATCATCCAAATTTTGATCTTCCGTAACCATAAAGATACACAAGTAAAACACTTTGCTTACTAAACTGACAGAATTGACAGCAACAAAAAGAAACAGCTTTAATGTTATTTTTGTGTAATACTGACCTTTCAACTTCAAGACCACCTCTACCCTCTGCATTGGCCAGCCCATGTCCTCTTCTCAGTGTCTGAAATCACAGCCACCCCTAAACACTTAGGTCCTGGTGTCCTCAGAATACCATGGCAAAGGAAGCAACAAAGAAAAGGGAAAAAGAATAAATAAACAAAAATCTTTCACCTCTAATAGCGGAGATTTTGGTGGACAGCCTCCACTGTTAGAGAGCCCAAGATTACCCACTGCTCTTGTTAAAGCATTCTCTTGATCAGAATCAAGAGATACGCCTAATGATTGAAGCAAGCCAGAAGTAGTCTCACTCCCTTCCTTGAAGGGGCTCCTTCCTCCCACTTCATTGAGCACTTCACGAGGAAGTAGAAAATCCAGTGACCTCTCAAGGTCTAAACTCCCTCCAAACGTGGTTGAGCCTCTCTCCACATCTTGGGTGGCAACTGTACACCCATTTCCTGTAGTCTGCAACTAAAACCAACCCAAGCATTGAGGTCCTTGTACAAATTCCTATAAAATTAGTGAGAGCAATAGTTTAAGAGGAAAAAGAAAAGAAAAGACAAAAGAGCTTTTACCTGTTGTGGCTGCAATTTGAATGGAAGAGGACCAGCAGTATTGTCTGAGAGCCCAGGGTGCGTTCTTTGAGCTAAATTAGGTCCTTGATCAGTATCTGATGATGAGCCTTTTGGTTGGTACGCTTGAGGCACACCTGTATCGCTTACTTTCCCATAACAGTTCCTCACTCTCATTTCATTAAGCACTTCAGGTGGCAAGAGATTATGTCTTAGCCTACTAGTTACTTGAAAGATCGCATTCTGCACGCTTTTATACTCACCAGTAATCTGCAAAGATAAAGGTAAAACAACAATGAAACCTCCTTCAAGATGAAATTGTTTATAAGGGTGGCACTCAAAAGTTCATCACCTACTGAAGTAACAAACAGAAACTGAAATTTATTTAAGAGCCTAAAACCCTTGGCAGCAAGGAATGACAACTGTCATAACAACAGAAAAGATGGTATGTTGCAGTATTCAGGCTGAAACCCACTAATTTGAAGGATCATCAAGATATTGACAATCTTGACTCAAAAAACAATAAAATTTTTTGTGATTCTAAAAGTCAAAGTGTCAATTGAAGATTTGCTATCAATATCAAACACCAAAAAGATGGAAGCAGTGAGGACTTGGATACCCTAAGGGGAGAAATCGCCCTGTAGCGCTCAAAAAGATTCTTCTTATATTTACAAAAAATCATCTCTAACTGAAAACGTTAATTCTACTAAATAATGTAAGGTATTTTGTTTCATTAATAAAATTGAATCACATTATCTAAGCATCTACTTCTGTTTGACTCAAACACTAACAGGAACTCAGTGGATCCTTCCCACATTGCAACCAACTTAAACAATGATAATGCTAACAAAATTAATATTTGCACCTGTACTACATTCTCTGGAGAATGATCCAGTGTCAGGTCTCCATCTAATATTTGTACATCAGCACCAGTGACTTCTACAATCTCAGAAAGTACCCTGCCTCCTTTGTCGTTCAAGCAGCTGACTAGGTTTTTTGCAACTAGAAGCCTAACAGTTACAGCAGAACCCTTACTCAGGCCTGATGGAAGTCCTTTTCCAATGTCAGCCTCAACTGATCTTGCAAATACAAGAACAACAGCATTTTGTGCAGGAGAATAACATGATTCAAGGTTCTACAATAAACAAAATCCTTGTTCAATAAGAAGGTAGGCACGGGCAATGCTTTTGTCAGTGATCACATGTTGCAAGCAAGGAAAACAAAGAGAGCAAAAGATTGAATAAAAACAGTGAATAATGTCTGTAGAAACTACTGGCATTAGTAAAACCTCCACAATCAGCTTTGAGACTAACCTCCAATGCAGAAATGGTGACAACACGCTCACCACACTCGGTTACTGGGGATGCAAACATTATAGAAGCACCTGTTTGATTTTGTAAAGCTCTGACTATGGCCCCCCTCTTACCAATTATGGCCCCGGCAGCACCATTGGAACAGAGCATTCTAAAGACTACTTCTTTTTGTGTACCATTTGAATCCAGGTTGGAATCTCCATCAGCATCCATAGATGAAAAGGTGGCATTTGATGCAGCACTCACAGAATTTGCTGACATAGGTGGCAACAGCGAACTAAGGTTCGGAAAAAATTCTATGTGTGGATCAGGGGAGGTCCCACGTGAAGGTTTCTCAGTAGGAACACTCATAGGTGTTGACTCTCTGTCCAAAGGTGGGCAAGCTTGAAGGCAGCCAGATACAGCAACCAGAGCTTTCTTGACAGCCAAAGTGCCACCAGTTATCTGCCATAATACAAAAAGAATCAAATAGACAAACTTTAGTGATATTAACCATATCCAAAATAAATCCTTCACTACCAAATTGTGAAACTGATTCATATATTCTTAATTCGATTGCCTCTTCAATTCCACAAGTCAGAGACATTACCAACACAATCAAGCACAGGACCTGTTACTAGTTTTTTTCATATCATCCACATGATCAAATTCACAAACATCAAGACCAGTACAGAAGCTTCTATTATTAACTTAAATCAACATCCTTTTTTTCTGGGTACAAATGGAAGCCCATTAGACCTCGAACTACTCACATAAAGTAGCTCTCTCCCATCTCAAGACTCCATCCTCTTTAACTTGAACATGAAAGTTTCAAGTCATAAATGCAAGAACGTCGCTGAAAATGTATCTAAAATTATTAGAATTTATACAAAATTTAAGTCCATAAACATTAACAATTTCGAAAAAAGGAAAATATATCATCAACATCGAAAAATTTACACCAATACCTTTCTATTTCGCACATTATTATTATTTGATTTTCTTTCACTTTCTGGAGAAGTAAACAGACAAAAAAATAACCCGCACCTGAATTAACTCATCGTTTTTCCTTCCGCATGGGGGCGGCGGCAAAATCCTAATCTTAGCTCCAGTCTCCGTCCTCATTCTCACAATATTGTTCCCTCCTCTCCCCACAACGGCACCAATCTGTGTCGTATCAGCCAGCACCCCACAGTAAGCTTCTTCGTCCTCCCCATCACACGCGTTTCCCCACTCTCTCTGAGCTTCCACTACCCACACGCGCTCGAAAACCCTAACCATCGCTTCCTGAGCACACGACACGTCACATTCTTCTCCCTCACTCAAACTAAACCGCCTCTCAACGGATCCCGACCCGACTATCAATATAACCCGGTGTGCCGACCCGCGAACCGGTTCCTCGCAGTGTATTCGAGAGGAAGTCTCGCGGCGAAGTTGAGAAACAACGGCGCCGGAGTTCCCGATGACTCCTCCGATGGATGACACGTGGCAGATAATACGAAATGACACCTCCCCTGGTAAGGGAACGATCGTTACAGGTGGGCCTTGGCGTCCCCTCCGACGGTTGTAGGGGTTTTGCATTTGGAAGAAAACTGAAACCAAAGCTTTGTCCTTTTTTTTTTTTTTAAATTCCTGGGTTTGTTTCTTTCTCTTGCGCCGTCTTAAAAAGGATAAAATATATTTTTTTTAAAACTAGTTTAATGTTTTCTTGTGGGGTGGGCGTGTGTTAAGGTTACTGAGAGTTGCAGCGTGTTTTCGCAGGTGGCGTACGGGTTGGTGTTATTGGCGTGCTGGTAGGGGCGAGGGCGCGAGTGTAAGTCGCGGTTGAAATTACGGGACGCGGTGTACGGAGAAGGGAGAATGTTGGGACAGCAGCAGCGATAGCTCACTTAGAAGGGCATGTTTCATGTTTTCAGCTTTCAAATTTCACATTATTTCTTTTCTTACCTTTCTATGGTCAATTGACAAATATTGATTGTGGGACGGGTCTAATTATGGGGTACGTAAGAATAATTATCAATAATAACAATAATAAATGAAAATATGTAAAGAAAGGGGTGAAAATGGAAAAAGGTAATTCTTTTTCCTTTAAATTTGCTCAATTGGACATTATTATTGAAGCAATTTCACAATGTTTTCTATTTTTGGTATATAATAAGGATAAACCTTTTTTATTTTATAAATCATATGATAATAATACATAACAGTAATTATGATTATGTTTTCTGTAGTACTTGTTCAATTCTATATTCGAATTGGGTTGTTGATTTTTTTTTCTTTTTTTTGGAATTAAAGTGGTATAATTATGACATAAATAGTAAAATGTTATTTATTATCAACATTTTCTCTTTTTTGGTACAAATTTTTCCTTTTTCTACCTCCACTTGTGAGAAATGGAAACTAAAATATCTTTCTTCTCTTTGTTTTATTTTTTGTTGTTTTATTATACCACGTATAGAAAGATATTTTGAGTTATTATTTATCTTTCTCATCAAACACAATAATAATACAAAGAAAATAATCACAATATGTATTTATAGTGATTTGACATTAAATTTCCATTGTCCCCTCTCTTATCTTTCCTTAGCTATTCGCCATGAAACAACATATGGTCCAAAGAGTGCACTGCCGTCAATTACTCCACTTCTTTTTTGGTGATTCATTCCCTTGTCCTCGTCTGACTGCCTACTTCCGAACAAAGATAGTCTGAAATCTAGCTCTGTTTCTTACTCCTTTTCATAGGTTGTTCTCCAAACAAGGATTGAATCAGGCATGATTTTTCAGTTGGCTGCGATCTAACACGACAACATTAATCAATCGAACGTGGAAGGAATCTTCTTTCAGAATAGTCGCTGTCAATGATTAATGATTCTTGGAGATGGGTTGGTGCCTACCTGCCCTAAACAATTATTTGACTTGAAAATTTGAAATGAAGCACTTGCATGAAAAGGAATATGCCTGCCTTGAACGATTAATGGACTCGAAATTGCATTGAAAGGACACTACTTTGAGAATATGTTCTCTCCATTTATTTTTTAGTTGGTGAGATTTTGTTTGCTCTAATTTATGGAACTAGAATCTTTAAAGCTTTGCTTTGGGGTTTTCCATTACTTTGAAAATGAACCCTTTTTCTTTTTGTTGTTTAATTTACTAGCAATAAAAACGTCAATTTTCATTTTTCTTGAATATTTAATCATAAATGTCCTAATTAAAGCAAGATGTTAGTAAACTATTGAAATGTAGAATATTCTCTCCTAATCATTTGAATTTAGTTCAAACTAATAAGAACGAAATCAAATTTAGATAGACATTTTAATTTGAATTATCACACTCTCCCTTTATACTATAGAAAAAATTAATAAATGAATCTCAAGTATAGTATTAAAACTATGGTTAGGGAATTATCATGATGTGATCATGAAGCATAAACTGAGTAGTACTAATGCAAAGATGATGATTTAGGGGATTTATTGTTACAAATTATGCTTGTGGGATCGGAGACCTGCAAGAGGAGATTTATTGCAACTAAAGTGTTTGTTGTAGCTGGAATAATTTCTAATTGATTTAATGGTATTTTAACGAATTTTGTGCATCAACGTAAGAATTTTTGTTATGGAAGATCTAAGATAACAAATGTTGGGTTAATAAAATAGAGCACACAAAATATTTCAAAGATTTTCTTACTACTCTAGAGATATTAACACTTTTCTTGTAATATCATACTCTTACTAATGGTAAGTAATACATAATTTTTGGACAGTGTAAGATGACTCAAAAATGTATAAAATGTAATGTTAGTTTACTAAGGAAAGTACACATGACAAGATAATCCTGTGGTTTTGGTTGTGGGAGACTGTTAAATGAAAACGAAAGATCATGGCAGCTAATATGGTCTCCAGATGCAAACACAAGTAAGAGGTAACCTCAGCATTGTTGGAAAATCAACTCAAACGATTTAGTGGATGCAATACTCGATTTTTTTTCATGATGCATTGCTTCCAAAAGGGGTAATTTCGACTATTCTTGTTTACTGCCTAAAGTTTCTAACCTTTTACAATGGAGTGAATTTCGACCCATTAGTTTATGTACTATCTTTAATAAGATAGTTACTAAACTATTGACCAATAGACTTGCAAAAATCTTACCTAGATTAATATCAAACAATCAAAGTAGGTTTGTTAGTGATAGATTAATTTAAAATAATATCTTAATTGCACAAGAGTTAATTTTTTAGATTGACAAGAAAACTCGTGAAGATAACGTTATTTCGAAACTGGATATGATGAAAGCTTATGACAGATTAAGTTAGGATTTTTTATATGCTATGTTGTGACAGTTTGGTTTCAATGAACAATGGGTTACCATGATCCAAAAATGTATTTCAAATTGCTATTTTTCACTGTTAATTAATCGAACTTCAGTGGGTTACTTTAAACTCAAAAAAAGATTGCAGCAAAGGGATTCTATATCCCCATCTCTATTTAGTTTAGCAACGAAATATTATCTAGGGGGCTTAATACTCTATATGCTCAATTACCCTCACTACATTACTCTTCAGGGCGCACTCCATGGCTATAAGCCATTTTATCTTTTACAGATGATATTGTCATTTTCACTAATGGCAACCAATCGTCTTTTGGTAAGTTTCCAAAATTCTTAGAAGAATATGAGGTGATTTCTAGTCAAAAAATAAATCTACAAAAGAGTTGTTTTATTTCAAGCAACATAGTTGCCAATTCCAAGGTCCAGATTATCAAAGCAGCCACGAGATTTACTCATGAAAAATGGCCAATAATTTATTGGAGAGCACCGTTATATAAAGGATACAAAAGATCAATTTTATGTGATTTTGTTATAATGAAAATTAGGGACTGCATCTCTGGTTGGAAAAACAAAATTCTGTTATCAAGGGGACAGATAACATTGATAAGGAGTGTCTTATCTTCCATGCCCTTGTATTTGCTTCAGGTAATACAGCCTCCTATTTGTATTGTTAAAAGCCAAGGGGCTTCAACTAGCACCAAAATGTCAGTATTGCAATTAAGAAGAAACCTTAATGCATGTGCTTTGGCAAAGTCTTGTAACGAATCAGGTTTGGAATTTTTCTTTTTTTTTTTTTTGCCATTATTTTCAGATTTCTATCATTCAACCACAAAGTAATTTGCAGATTTTATGGGCTTGGTTTTATTCTGGAAACTACACAAAGCAAGGCCATATCCGTATTTTCAATCTCATTTTTATATGCTGGTCCTTATGAGTTGAACGGAATGATTCAAAACATAGGCGACCTGGAGTTTACTCTCAATGTGTAATATGATGAATAATGAAGCGTCTGATGCAACTCCATAAAGGGAATTTAATACGTAAAATGCAATGGAAATGTGATATACAAATTGCAAAGTTATGGAATATCAACTTTTCACGTCAACTTCCTTTACTGCCTCAAATTATCAAATGGTTGAAGCCAAGCAATGATAAAGTCAAGTTGAATGTAGATGGAAGTTTAAAAGAAAATTCCAACAATGTCGCAGGAATACAGGTATGTTACTATTTAGCTTTTTAGAAAATTTTGGGCCAATTAATTCCTTGAAAGTTGAATTATGTGCACTTGAGACAAGTCTTCATCTACGCCATGCCCATAACTTAAGAAAAATCTAAATTGAAATGGATGCTAAGGTGGTAGTTAATATGGTATTGGAAATAAGTTATGGTTCTCATGACACCAGGTACACCATTCGAAAATGCTTGCAACACTTTAATTATAGAATTACTCAAATCTAACGAGTGGGAAATCAGGCCATATTATCTCTCCAACGAAAGTTACACACATCAAGGCCTCAAAGTATTCATTAGCCTAGAAAATGACTTAAGGGGTATTTCGAACTTAGATAAAAATCAATTTGCCTTATATTAAATTTAAATAAATGTAAAAAAGTAGTAGTCTCTATTTATAATGTAGAAGAGATGTATTGTCAAAAAAATTGGGAAACATATGTAAGTAAAATAAAGCAAGTAAGAACACCAGGACCCCAATCATGGTATCACTGTCCTTAAAAATAATTTTCGTCCTTTGAGGTATAAAACCCAGCATAAAAAGACTATAACAGTTATCCTCCAAGATTCAACAAACCTTTCTTTATAGTTTGCACAAATTAGTAAGGATGGCAAAAACAGTAGAAAGAAAGAATCCAGCTAAGAAAGAAATGAAGCAAAAAATAAATAGAGAAGACTTAAAGAGAAGATGAGAGGCTTTGGTGTGGTGTGAGTGAGGTAGAGAGGTTGTATTTATAAGTAAGGAATGAAGTGAACGTTGCACCAAATTAGAGAATTGAGAAAAAGCCTCAAGAAGTTAGAAAAAAAACTAGTCAGTATATATACTTAGTCAGATATAAGTTGTAGCCAAATTAGGAGAATCATCAGCATGGTAAAGTACTTAGTCAAATAGAGGTTCAAGCAAAATCAAGAGAGTTAGATAAGCATGGTAGAGTTTGAGTTTGATTCAATCAAAAGCTGAAAAAAGTTAAAAAAATTAAAGCCAAGGTACAAATAGTCAGATAGATGTTGAAGCAAAATCAAGAGAGTTAGGCAAGCATGGTAGAGCTTGAGTCTGATTCAATCAAAAACTGAAAAAGGTTAAAAAATTCAAGTTAAGGTTTAGTTTGCACAAATTAGTAAGGGATGGCAAGAACAGTAAAAAGAAAGAATCCAACTAGGAATTAAAGGAAGTTGAAAATAAGTATAGAAGACTAAGAGAAGATGAAAGACTTTGGTGTGATGTGAGTGACGTAGAGAGGTTGTATTTATAGGTAAGGAATGAAGAAAATTTGAAAATTTTCAAGATCTAGCCTAATCTTGTATGCACATACTCTCTCTCTCTTTTTTTTTTTTGCTTGTAACAAGTTTATAATGATTTTTCTTATATAAGACATTCACTTTTTTTGTACCTTGACAATATGAGATATTTGATTCTTATGAAATATACTATTTCTCAACACTACTTATCACATTCTTTAAATTACATAGAAAGAAAGTAGTCACTTTGCTAGGAATTTTTTCAAAATTTTCACATATAACCATGTAGTTAAGGTTTATGCTTCTCCTCAGTGTACTTCAAGTTTCCATCTCTAATAAAACCTTAATAGGAGCTGACCCCGAAAGCTTTTCCAGCATTAAAACAAAAAAGTGAGAGCCAATTCTTATCAAGAAAGGTTAGACCGAGGTTCCTCTTTGTAGTCAACAAGGGTAAAGTTGACTTGGTGGCAACACATTGGCGTTGGTGGTGTTGCGTGAATTACGTAGAGTGGGGACGGGGGATTGATATTGATTTTTTCAAGCCTAAGGATAGATATATTTAACAGATAAGAAACTAGGGTTATCTTGATGACCAAAGGCTCTATACATATAAAGTAGGTGTTAACCTTAAAATCATGAAAGAGATGTAATCTCTACGTGAGAGTTTCATAGATTTGCAAGGATGTGAGAAAGAGTAGATTGAGGATATTCAATGAGTTTAAACACTTGAGCATAAAACTAAGTTTTGTTTGAAAGCTCAGTTTAGTATTTGTTTTTGGATAATCTGTTTTTTCCTTTTTGTGTGTGTAATCCTTTTCTCTGGTTTGTAAGCAGCAAATATCGGATTATGTCTAGTGTTGTTTTTTTATAAATCATTTATACCCTAGACTTTTTCTTCCAATCTTCTTGCCAACCTTGTTCTGCCTTTTCTACGTTGTTTCTCATCCTATGTTTGACGATTGGTTTCATGTCCTTTTACCAAAGTCTGATTCTAGCATGTGGGCAGAGTTAGGGGTAGGGTAGCGTTGTTGCTTTTGTTGTTCATGGTATGGATAGTCTGCGTCGTTGGGTCGTCCCTGAGTCTACAGTGACGCGTGACACCATTTCTTTTTCCATTTTTTTTCGGTGGTTTTATTCCATTTTTATTATATGCTTTCTCGTTTGAACCCGTACCCTTTATTTTTAATCTTTGTTGGCAGAATCTTGTTTTTTTTTTCTTTAGCATCTTTGTTTGAATTTCACTTTTTTTTTGGAAATAAATAAGTCCTAATTCATTGAAAACCTTTCATCTTGCTTGTATGTGTATTTTTTCTTATTTAAAATTCAAAGTCGAGACTTTTAAAAATATCTCTGTAAAATTAAAGACAAAAAATCATGCGTTTGATATTATTAAATAATGATTTATAAATTTTTTAAAAAAAATAATGGAAGATTCATTTTGCAGCTTAAAGCACAACCCTTTCCATGAGTACACCTTGTTTAAACTCTGCGCTAAAGATGTCAGGCTTAAAAATCTCCATTCCTGAGCTGATCTCCTCGTCCTTTATCAATGCCTTTTGAAGGGGAAACAAAACTAGATCGAGTTTGGGTTGAAACCAACCATTTTAAGGAGGGACGACCCATGACAATGGCCGAAGCCCAAGACTCACAGCCCAAAACCAGCTGCAGTGACAGTGCTGCTCTACCCAAAAACCCAGAAGAAAGTTGCAGCGGTTAAGCCGCGTACTAGCATTCCTGACAAACGTTCAACTGAGCAGCAGCCTCCCCAAATATCCTCCTTCAGCTCCAGGCGCTTCCCTCCTTCCGCCTCCTTCCATGAATGGATCCCCCACCATCACCTCCGTCCGAGCGCCCACAATGAGAAATCCAACAGCCATTATAAATCCAGGTCAGTCCTTCCATTTCCTCGCAAAATCTCTCTCCTCTTTCCCTTCCTCTCTTCCCCTAGACCCTGACCCACCCGATCACGACATCCCTTTGCTCCTCCACTCCATCCTCTCCAAACCCAATTGGCAAAGGCACCTCTCCCTCCCAAAACTAATCCCGTCCATATCCCCTTCCCATGTCCATTCCCTTTTTTCTCTCAACCCCAATCTCCTCCCCAAAACTGCCCTCGATTTCTCCTATTGGATCTCCAAAAAACCCAATTTCAAACACTCCGTTTTTTCCTATTCTGCCCTTTTAAACATCCTTGTCACTAACAAATTCTTTGGTCCAGCGGAGAAAATCCGCCTTGTCATGATCAAATCTTCCTCTTCAATCCATGAAACCCGGTTCGTTTTAGAGTTCTTAACAGAAATGAATAAAAACAACCAGCTTCATTCCACTTTTAAGCTTACCGTTCGATCCTATAATTTTTTATTGATGTCTTTATCGAAATTCTCGATGATTGATGAAATGAAATCTGTTTATAGTGGAATGTTGAACGATATGGTTTCGCCAAATATTTACACTTGGAATACTATGGTTAATGCTTATTGTAAGATTGGGAATGTGGTTGAAGCTGATCTGTATGTGAGTAAGATTGTGCAGGCGGGATTGAGTCCCGATACCTTTACTTTTACTTCATTGATATTGGGGCATTGCAGGAATAAAGATGTAGATAGCGCATTCAGGGTTTTTAGAGTGATGCCTAATAAGGGTTGTCACAGAAATGAGGTTTCATATACAAATCTTATTCATGGTCTCTGTGAGGCTGGACGTGTTGATGAGGCTATTAAGTTGTTTGAAAAGATGGAGGAGGATTTTTGTTATCCTACGGTTCGTACATACACAGTGATCATTAGTGGCTTGTGTGAAGTAGGAAGGAAGACACAAGGAATGAATTTGTTTGAGGAAATGTCACGGAAAGGCTGTGAGCCGAATGCTCATACTTATGCAGTAATTATTGATAGCTTATGTAAAGAAAATAAGGTTGACGAGGCAAGAAAAATGTTAGATGGGATGTTAGAGAAAAGGCTGGTTCCAAGTGTGGTGACCTATAATGCTTTGATTGATGGATATTGCAAGCACGGATTAATGGAGGCTGCACTGGAAATTTTGGGTATGATGGAATCTAACAATTGTTGTCCAAATGAACGAACATATAATGAATTGATAGCTGGGTTTTGTAAGAAGAAGAATGTTCACAAGGCAATGGCATTTCTTGACAAGATGCTTGAACTTAAGCTGGCACCAAGTGTAGTCACATATAATTCATTAATTCATGGGCAGTGTAAAATGGGGCAATTAGACAGTGCCTTTAGGCTGCTTGAGATGATGAGGGAGAATGGTTTGGTTCCTGACCAATGGACTTATAGTGTTCTTATAGACTCTCTTTGTAAAGTTGATAGGGTAGAGGAAGCTCGTTTTCTGTTTGACTCTCTCAAGGGGAAAAGCGTTAAAGCCAATGAAGTTATATATACTGCTTTGATTGATGGATACTGCAAGATTGGGAAAGTTGAAGATGCTCATTCTTTGCTTGACAGAATGCTTACTGAGGACTGCTTGCCAAACTCATGCACATACAATGCCCTTATAGATGGGTTGTGCAACAGGAAAAACATGAAGGAAGCACTGTTGATGGTGGAAAAGATGGTGGGGATGGGTGTAAAGCCTACAGTACATACCTATACAATCCTCATTGAATGGATGCTTAAAGAAGGTGACTTTGATCAGGCTCATAGGGCCCTTGACCAACTAATTTCCTCGGGATGTCAACCTGATGTATTTACCTATACAGCTTTTATTCATGCATATTGTGGTGTAGGGAGATTGAAAGAAGCAGAGGATGTGATGATTAGGATGAAGGAAGAAGGCATTTTTCCAGATTCGTTGACATACACATTACTTCTAGATGCATATGGATGCTTGGGATCAGTGCATTCTGCATTTGATGTTCTCAAGCGTATGTTTGATGCTGGCTGTGAGCCTTCTCATCATACATATTCTTTTTTAATCAAGCATCTCTCAAAGAAACAAGGGACAAAGGATGACTGCCCTGCAGTGCATTTGGTTTTAAATGCCGCTCTGGTTAACCATGCTGATGTGTGGAAGACAATGGAATTTGACACTGCTTTGGAGTTGTTTGAGAAAATGCATCAACATGGTTGTGTACCCAATATTAACACTTACAGCAAGCTTATTATAGGACTTTGCAAAGTTGGCCGCTTTGAAGTAGCTCAAAGGCTATTTGATCATATGAGAGAACAAGGAATATCTCCTAGTGAAGATGTCTACAACTCTCTTCTTAGTTGTTGCTGTGAGTTGGGAATGTATGATGACGCTGTGATAGTGGTGGATCTGATGATAAGTTCTGGTCAGTTACCAAACCTGGAGTATTACAAGCAACTGGTTTGCGGACTATGTGCTGAAGGGAATAAGGAGAAGGCTAATATGGTTTTTGATAACTTGCTTCGTTGTGGTTATAATAGTGATGAGGTAGCTTGGAAGGTTCTTATTGATGGCTTACTGACAAAGGGGTTTTCTGATAGATGCTCTGAACTCCTAAGCATCATGGAAAAAATGGGCTGCCAGCTCCATCCTAATACATATTCAATGTTAATTGCTGGACTTGAAGAAACATAGAGCATTTATTCTTGGTATTGTTTCCTTTAGATTCTTGCCTTTTTGTTACTCAAAAAGATGCCTTTGCAATGCTCTTCCTTGTCTAGATTGGTACTAGGATGTATAGATTGAAGACAGCATTTTGGCTTGCCATCTCAATACGTAAAAAGAGGGCTTGAAACTTTCCAGTTGGCTGGCAATAAGGGAGCAGTGAGAAGCACACACACATCTGCTGATTGTGGATGTGGCCCTTCATCAAACAAACCATTTCACTGACAATCAAGAGGCAAGTATGCATTTCCTTTCTCATACTTGTTCATATAGTGGTGTTTTTGAGCCTCTAGTAATCATGTTCTTTGCTTTTCGTTTTTTCCTCCCTAAAGCTCATTGAAGAGGATTAAATTTTCAAATTTGCCTGCAGATGTATGATTATTTTCTCCTTTTAGTCTATGCATATTATTTGTGCTCCTCCTAGTACATGTAAAAATGCATGTGTCTAAAAAGCACAAGTGAAACCATTATTAGATTGTTATCTTTGTCTATCTAACAGAAATGAGGTGCTAAACTAGAATATGGCATCCTGTATATGTAAGGCAGGCATGTGTGAATACTTGCTGAAATTAATTAACCATTTATAAGTTGCAAATTTCTTTTCCAAAATATGTTGGCTTGATTTACCCTGGATGGTTTTGTTGGGCAAGATACTCTAAAACATAATAAATACTAAAAAAAAAACTGTTTTTGAGATAAAAATTATACCTAGCAATGGTGTTATGTTTACTGATTTAGAAGTATTGGTACCCATCTAGGTAAATCTCTAAAAGAGAAATGTTGCATGAATTTATGTATACCATTTGTGAAGTTCTGCCTTAGTCTTTCGTTTTCTTGTTGAGTTCTGACATGGTCTTGACCTTGATATTGAAGGCTTAGCTGCTGACCCGCAATAGCTTACTTATGGATCTTCTCGATATTGTCAAAATTTTGCTGTTTTTGACTATCCGTTCACTGTTCTTGTCTTATATAACTTGAATGGAATGTCTTAACAGTTACTCGATTTGCCTAGCAAAGATAGGAGAGAAAGGACCTTGTAATAGTTTAGATTGAACTTGTTTCTTTTTTGGGTTTATGGTTACATAAAGTTGGTGTTACGATGGTGTAAGAGAAGTTCAGAAAATAACTTTGTTCTTTTTTGATAACAGAATAAACTATTCAAGATATGAAAGGAGCAAGAGTTTACTCGAAGTGACCATTAAGCCATAACTTTTACCCTGCTTAGGAGGATTGACTGGTAACATATGTTATATTCCCCTTCACAGGTAATGCGATAAAATATGCAACAAATTTATATTCCCCTTCTTGGTTTTGATTTGCTCTTTACATGACAATAACAGCCTTTTTAATTTTTGTCATGCAGAAATCCTCAAGCGCCTACTCAGTTGGAAAAGAATCAAACTGGGCCTAGCTCGATTACCACTCACTAATAAAAGCTTGTCGTTGGTATCAACATTAGAGATTATATCTCCATGCTAACAGGTGACAACCTAACCATCTCTCACGTGTCAAAAAAGAAAAATGAAAAGAGAGTCAACAAGAAGTAACTGCTGTACAGTGATAATTCCAATGAAATTGGGATCAAATAAATATGTAATTCTTTTGAAAGGGTTTGAGGTTGATCTATAGCGTTTGAAAGAATTTTTCCAATTTTGGCAAATGATTAATAATTGGTGTAAACCCAGAATTACCACCGTTGGATCTCGTAACAAACTCTGCAAAGTAATTTTGCGAAGACAGAAGCACACCTCAGAGTAATCACTAAAATCAATCCTGAATTACCACAAAGCAGACAACATTGTAATTCTATCAACAGAGTCAGTAAAACCGAGCTTCCTCATTTCTAGATATGGAATTCTCGGTAGTGCGCATGCTAGAGGGAATTTGTTGTTTTTCTTCCTATATTACGCATCAAATAGGGAATTATTTTCAAACAAGCTCAGAGGACCCAGAGCTGCTTATTCTTCCATTCTACTGCCTTTGATTCGATTCTTATTGGTGATAAGGAAACTCAGTAATTGATCAATGTAGCAATCTTGTTTCTCCCAGTCCCCAAATATCTCCTTCATCTCCTTGGCTTTGGCCCTGTAAATTTTACCCTCTTCCTCCACCATCACCAATCTAAGTGACTCAGCCACCGAGTCTCTAGTGAACGCTCCATCATCTTCATTCCTCGGTATTACATAGCCCATTTTTTTCTCTTCCAAAACTCTAGCATTTAACCCTTGATCAGCCAAGAACGTCAACAGTATAAGAACTCTCTCCGACTCAATTGCCTCCACAACGGAGCTCCACCCAGCGTGACTCAAGAATCCACCGACCGAGTCATGAGCTACAATCTGCGGTTGAGGAGCCCAGCTCGTGCAAACCACACCACGCCCTACGGTTCGCTCCTCGAACCCATCTGGTAACTCAATGGACTCAGTGTCTGACCCCCCTTGTCGAGGCATTAGCACCCAAAAGAAAGGTAACCCTGATAACTCTAATCCCAGAGCTATCTCGGTCACCTCTTCTTGACTTGGTTTTGCCTCGCTGCCAAATGCTACATAAACCACACTCCCTGGTTGTTGCTTGTCTAGCCATTCTTTTATTGGTTTCCAGGCTTCATCGTCATGGTTTCCATTATTATAAGCAGTCGGTGGAAGCAGACCAACTGGAATAACAGGTTTCTGGTGAAGTTCCTTTAAAAGATTCAAGTACTCAGGCTCAAACTCCCAACAGCTTCTTACAGCTATTGCATCGCAGCGTTCAATCGCTTCCTCAAAACGGTAGAGATCTGAGGTGTGGGAACCCTCTCCCGCTATAGAATCGAAGATTCTCGATATCTCGAAAAGCCGAAATGCTGCGGAGGATGGAAAAGGAACCCATTTGGGTGGCTTGGTGAAATCCTCGGGTTTCTTACGATCATCTTGAATATCAATTAAAGGAGAAGAAGGCTTAACTTGTGTTAGACTTACCGCATTGAATATGCTAAACAATGCATTAGGGATGCCGACGTTATGGGCTAAAGGAGGTAGCCAGTGCGGAGCAAAATCGAAAAGTAGCCAATCTGCGGATGATGTTTCAAGAAACTTTGCCAAGGAATCCTGAAGACCATCGAAGGCTATTTTCAAGTAAGGGACCTTTTCGTAAGGAAGATCAATGGTGGCCTCAGCGTTCTCAGGAGGATTTTCGACGTGAGGCAGAGGGAGTTTTACAAATTGTATTGAAGATGCTACAGTTGGAGGGAGTTTCGGGAGACGGTCGACATTTCTTGGGGTGGATATGAAGGAGATTTTGTGACCCTTTAGGGCTATGAGCTTGGCGAGTTCTAGGTATGGGATCATGTGACCGAAGGCTAGCCATGGGAACATGGCTATATGAAGCTTGGTGCCATCAGCCATGGATGAAGAAGATCTCCGAAGATAATCCGCAGGTTATTAAAACTGTGTTGTGGTTAGAGAATTTGATAAATGGATTGAAATATATATATATGGTACTATAAAACACATTAAAGCTTTTAGTATTGCAAGGGAAAGACCAATGCCAAAGAATAAATAAAGCCTACTTTCCCTTTGAAGGTTAGGCCATATGGTTTTAGTCAAAATATAGAATTTATACTTTAAAAATAATAAATCGTAATTGTACATAATTTTTATAAAATTTTAATGAATTACATCTATCTAATCATTAAAACTTTAATATAATACTTATTAATAAATATTTATTATCTGCATCAATTTTTTTTGAAATTAATTACAAAATTATTGCATTAAAAGTACTATAACAACGAAATAAATTATTATAACACAACGAAATAAGATCATAAAAATAAAACATTATTACAAGTTAGATGATTTTATATACAAAACAGTTATTTTAAAATAATAAAAATTTTCATACCAGTTATAGATATTTTGTTATAAGTAACTCATGACCATCTCCTCCTCCTGGGTTTTTCTTTACTTTTAAGATTCAACAGCACGTGCATGCCGAACCGGAATCCCCTTGGAAAACGTAAGTCATCAAAATGTAGTTCTGGTTCCAACCACCGCTAAATAAGGATATTCGGTAATGAGCTTTAAAAGGGTTGAGAAAGGTCTAACCATTCGTGCAAATATTAGAGAAAAATGGAAAATTTGGCAAAGATAAAAGTAGCTTGTGGAGCCCCGCAGGATCACATCTTCCTTCAAGGGAGAAGGTAACCGTTGTATCAAGAGCTCGTGCTTGTGATGGACACTCTTTCTTCTGTTTCTTTTTTTTTTTAATTTTATGAAATTACAAATATCAATAATAATTTTAATCATAATCAAATTATTTTTTACATATATCAAGTAGAAAAAGAATATAAAAATTAATAATTTAATATAAAATTGAAGTAAACCTCTATATATAATGAAAATTGCACCAGATATCAAAGATTTGAATTTTCTTTTTTTTTTTCTCTTTGAGCATTGAAAATATTTTCGTTTGCTTGATATAAAATGTCTTTGAAAGTTGTTTGAAGGTCATTTTCAATCATTTATGTCAAAGAGGGGAGGTCACATGTGGAGTGGGCAAAATAATATCAAATTAATTATCTATTTAAATTAAATATGATTCGGATAAAATAGTTCAGTCTAATTGATATATTGAGTCAATTGATTTAAAATATTTGATTCAATTGATTTTTTGGATGGATTCTCAATTTTAAAATTTTTGGACCAAAACAATAAAAAACTAAACTAAATTTTTATACATATTAATGTATATAAGATTATATAATACATGTTATTTTTAAATTTATATAAAATACTTATATAAAATATAATATACATATAATATTTTCACTTCTTCATTTTCATTTTTTCAATTCTTATTTTTTTATTTCTTTTAATTCTTTTTTGTTTATGCATTTTAAAAAAAGATTGAGATTATGGATTCTATTTCCATTGTTGACGATTGATGAGTGAAAAGGTTAGAAATGCATTCTTCACTCTTCAATTGATGTAAATGTTAAATTTTATGACTTTTTATATAATTTTTCATTTTTAATCTTCTATTGCTTTGTTATTAAAAAAATTTTCACTAATTATATTTTCTATTTTCTTTCAATTATTAGATAGCCTATGTGAATGAATGTGAAGAGCTAAGTTAGGGAGAAGATTCTCAAGTTGATAATTTGCGATGGTTAATGGTCTTGTGTTGGATAGTTTTATTTTGTGAATGTTATTTTATTATCTTTGACTTTTTATTATGTTGAATCTTAAATATCAATTTAATAATTTATCTAAAAAGACATAATTATGTGAGTAAAGGAACAAATGTTATGTTTTTTTAATGTTTAGATTATTTGTATATTTTATAATTATGGATAAAGTTTGTAAATATTAAAATTATAATTTATAAAAAAAATGATAAAATTTTAATTCATTGCTCTAAAATCAAACTGAACAAACCTATTCAATGTTTGATTGGTTTGATTCTCTTTTATATTTGGTTTTTTTCTCTAAAATATTTGATCTATTTAATTTTTAGGTATAGCAGACTACCCAATTGCTCACTCCCACTCACCTGTACCACAAAAAAATTTCTAAAAGGTCCATCACATATGTTTTGATATGAATATCCATAAGGCTAGAGACAAAAATTTCTCAACAGTTTGAGTCCGTTAAATTAGGAATTAATCTTTATATTTTGTGAAAATGTTGAACTTAAATCTTATGTTATAATTGGATTCAATCAATTCATGTACCTTTCAAAATTTATTAATATTAATCCAATCATTAGCACCATTAATTAGTTTTTTCTGTTTAAATTGCTAATGTGGCATTGACCAAGCTAAAAGTGTGGAATTTTTGGAGATTTTAATAATCAAATTCTAACATCATTCTTTGTATTTTACCAAAAAATTGAATTTAATTTTTGTAATAATCAATTAAAATATTGGATTTAATCTCTGCACTATATGTATTTAGTTTGTATACTTCATCAAAATATTAAATTTACTTCATGTATTATATTTCATCTATAATCAAATTCTTATATTTTTTAAATTTTTTTAATATTAGTTCAACTATTAACACAGCTTCAATTGTTAAAATTGTTGACGTCTTAGAAACCTTGGACAAAACCTTATTCTCGTAGAAATAGAAGGTTCATATTTCTCTTCTTTTTGGACACTAAAACCAAATTAATTTTGATCAATGCCATTGACTTCAGGGTTCTTGAGACGCCTGTGATTTTCAAGGTAACCCAAGAAATTATCCAGGCTGTTGCCAAAGACCCTTTTCATTTCCTTTGCTTTGTCCCTGTAAATCTCCCCTTCGTCCTCCACCACTACCAACCTCAATGACTCAGCCACACTACTCCTAGTAAACGATCCGTATTGCTCCTTCCTACGAATCGAATACCCAATCTTCTTCGACTCCAATAAGCCGGCATTGATCCCTTGATCAGCGAGGAAGGTAAACAATATAAGAGGTCTCTGAAATGGAAGAGCCTTTACCACTTAGCTCCACCCTGAGTGAGTCAAGAACCCACGGATCGAGTCATGAGCTAAAATCTTGAGCTGAGGTGCCCAAGTCGTGAGAACTGTTAGAAATTTTGAGAAGACGAAGAAGCATATTTTGAGGAGAAAGGAAGAATATAATTTTTGAAGGCGTGAATTAACATTTTCTTTAATGTATGTTTTTAACTTTCAAAATACAATAAAGTACTTAACACATTTATTATAAATTATGAAATTAACGAGATAAAAATAATGTTAATATAATAAATCAACATATACGTCTTTCAATGAAAAAATATAATATGATTTTTTAAATAGTATAAAAAGATTTATTTTTTTTTAATATAACTCTTCAAATAATTATTTTTTTCATAATATAATTATTTAATAATTATATCTAATACTCTTTTAAAAGTTATATTTTAATAAAATAATTATTTATAATTCTTTAATCACAATTTTTCTTAACATTAACAAACTATCTAACAAGAACCACACTACTCCCTCTAGTTCTCTCCTCGAACCCTTCTGGTAACTTGATGGACTCAGCATCAGTTGATCCGCGACGCTTCCTTAGCACCCAAAGGAAAGGCAACCCTGAAAGCTCTAACCCTTGAGCTATCTCATTCAGTTCTTCTTGGCTCGGTTTTGCTTCACTTCCAAAAGCAATATATACAACAGATCCTTTCTCTTGCTTGTCTAGCCACTCTTTCATTAACTTCCAAGCCTCATTTTCCTCGCTGTTATTGTAATCCGTCGTGGGAAGTTCACCAACTGGGATAACAGGTTCCTCGTAAAATTGCTCTAAGAGTTTTAACCACTCCGGTTCTAACTCCATGCAACTCCTTACAGCCACCATATCACAATCTTTTACGGTCGCACCAAAACGATAGAAGTCTGAAGTGTTGGTTTCGTTATAGATCTTCAAGACTTCATAAAGCATAAACCTCACCGTTGAAGGAAAAGTAACCCACTTGGGCAAAACCGCATAATCTTCAGGTTTTTTGTGATCCTCGTCGCCATGCATAAGAAACGACGGTGGTCCAAGGTAGCCAAGGCAAGCTGCGGTGAATATGCTGAAGAATGCGTTAGGAATGTTGAGACTACGGGCTATACTCGGTAGCCAATAAGCAGCAAAATCTAAAAGAAGCCAATCAGGAGACAAAGATTGAAGTAGCTGAGCCATGGGTTGTTGGAGACCATTCTCCATCATAGGCATTTTTGAGGTACCAAACGTCGTCTAAAGGAGCATCTATGGTTGCTTCTGCGTTTTGTGGGAGATGGTTGATTTGGGGTAATGGGAGTTTGATAAAATGGATTAGAGAAGCCAAATGGGGAGGGAGTTTCGGGAGACGATCGATGGTTTTTGGGTAGAAATGAAGGAAATTGTATGACCCTTTTTAGCTACGAGCTTGGCAAATTCTAAGAATGGGAACATTTGACCAAAGGCCAGCCATGGAAACGTAGCTATGTGAAGCCTACTCTCACTTGCCATTGTTTTAGGCTTCTATTTCTTTTGTTTTTCACTAATTTCTCGAGTCAGGAAGCGCAACTTAACCAGGTTGATTAATTATATAATTGAAAAAACATAGATAAAAAATGAGCAAGAGAGGCCCACAGCAATTTAGTTTCTTGTTGCAAATAACGACAAATTTTTGAGACAAACTGGCCTATTCATGACATAAACAAGGCTAATTTGAATGGTGGAGATCAGTATGGTGGAGCATTGCGAATCGTTTGTGAGAGTTCGAGTTCGAGTTCGGGTTCAGTGAGGTCATTTACTGAGTGCATCCAAACTCTGCCGCTTGCGTGTTGAATTTTGCTTCTCTTGTCTCTTCTTTTTCTTTATTTGTGCAACTCTTTGGTGCAACTAGTTCATGATAGACCTTTAAGTTTCAATGAAGACTGAAAATGATCAGGACAGGGGTATCATGGTCTAAGATGATATAATTGTTTTGACTTTTCATTTCTAATTAATATCTATTTCCCCCATTACAAAAAAAGATTATCAAATGAAAAGTAATTACTGTTT